TCAGTGATAATACTGTACATTGGCACTGTACTAATGACACTGAATGGGAAGGGGTTAACATCTAGGGGCAATCAAGGGTTTAAATATGTGTCTAACAATGTGTAATGTGTGTAATATGTGCTGTTTTTACTTTTCTGTCTAGCTGTTTTTTCTCCCTGCTTTGCAGGGAAAAGAAACATCCAGATCACTAATCCGTGTACAGATCTTGTGTGTGTTGTAAACACAGGGGCTCTGTGCTGTGATTGGACACAGCCAATTAGCAGGTCTCAGCCAAGGCCACAGCGCAATCAGCAGCAGACACGAGCATGTGTACCCGCAAACCCACCGCCGTACAGCTACGTGATCCCTTGTCCACAGTAGTTATACTGCAGCAAGTAGTTAAAGTAACTACTGTTGGGTAGCTGCTTAACTCATTGATACCCGAGAACTGAGCAGTCCTTGGATGGCTAGGTTCACAGACACTGGGTACAAAGTTGATCGGAACCCCTCTGTACCTTGGGATCACAGTGATAGAGAAACTAATCACAGTTATCACATAATGTAAACAGTGTAGTGTTTACATCCATATAGTGTTTATATCTGTGAGCCCGCCCCTTCCACTTACAATGAAAGGGAGGAAAGAGGAACTAATGAATAAATAAGACATTCATTAGTTTCTGATCTAAGCACAGACCACAACAGAACAGTTGTAAACCATTTTATCCTCCCTTCTCTCCCTTACATCTGCTGTACATCCTGTCTCAATGTGATCTGTATATTAGCCCTTGACCTCCCTTATCTTGCACATTACCCGTTCATCTCCATCCTCCCTTTGTATGTCACCTGAACATCAATCCCTTCATCACCTTCTCCCTCTGTGTACGACCTTTGTGTACCATATCTAGAGCACCATTACCAAGCTCCACGTTTAAACCACCTAAATACCAGCATGTTTCTTCATTACCAACAAAGTAGCAAAAAAGAGATCACTTAGGTGTCTACTTAACAAAAAGGGGTCATTTTGGGTTTGTACATACTTTCCTGGCCATTTTCATTTTAACAGAAAGTAAGAGAAACTTTTTTTTTTTCACAATTGGTCTTTTTTCCTTTATACCATAAACAAAGAAACAAGAGAAAAGAAAGCTCTGTCTCAAAAAATGATATAAGGTTAATTTGGGTACAAAGTTTTATGAGTAAATATCAAAATAACACAGGACTGAAAATGGAAACATTGCCTGGTAATGAAGGGGTAATACAGGCTGCTTCTCAAGTGGTTATACATCCATGATGCTCTTGATAACAGAGGAAATTTGGGAGCCACTATTCATAGGAACATACTTCCTGATTTGGTTTGGTAATGCTGATAAGCGCCACAGTAATTCATTTTAATACTATATTATTTTCCGCTTTCATTATTCTCCATATAAATGTATTACAATTGGTTTGGCTGAATATCTTCATTAAAGGATAATTGCACTTTTCAAACACATTTACTCCTTTAAACACTAATTACCGATTGAACAACTAAGGAGTAAACAGCACACTGTTGAGGTCATCCCTCTGTTTACTCCTTCTCTCACAGGTTCACTGCTAGCACATGACCACTGTGCAAATCCTGATTGGTTCCTAACGCTGGTCCTCTCTGTTCAAGTCTGGGTGATACTATATGAGGAATCATGGGAGGTTTATATCAAGACAGATTAAAGTACTTAAAAAACCCAACATTTCATATTCCTGACATGTGCCTGCTGTGCCATGTACTTGTATGAAAAAGTATCCTGTTCTCTTTGCATTGCTTCCTTTGTGCGAAATCCCTGATGTTCCTGCCAGTCCTCCTGCTATCCTATTAAAAACTGACCACAGTAGGCATAAGAGGACAGTGTGGTCACTTTTCTGGCTGTGCTGGGAACTCAGCCTACCTGTCCCCCCAATGACTAGACTTGTGCTGACATCCCCTCATCTCCCTGCACAGCCATTCACTGTGAAGATCAGTGCACTACTGTTTCTCCTCCCCCAGCTCCCTGAGCTCCTTAAGCAACTGAGAACAGAGGTTATGTGATCACTTATAAAAAAGGGGAAAAAAAGGAATTTATAATGTTTTTACATCTATACACAAATGTTTTGCCTATTATAAACTGAATGGGTTGTTTTACAAGGTGAGGGTATTGGGGCGCCCCTCCAAATCATTGGATTCAGGTGTTCCAATCATCTCCACGGCCATAAGTGTATATAGTCAAGCACCTAGGCATGCAGACTGCTTCTACAAACATTTGTGAAAGAATGGGTCGCTCTCAGAAGCTCAGTGAACTCAAGCGTGGTACTGTGATAGCTTGCTACCTGTGCATTAAGTCCATCCATGACATTTCCTGGCTACTAAACATTCCATGGTCAACTGCTAGTGGTATTATAACAAAGCGGAGGCAACTGGGAACAACAGCAACTCAGCCATGAAGTTGTAGGCCATGTAAAATGACAGAGTGGAGTCAGCGCATGCTGAAGCGCACAGTACGCAGAAGTCACCAACTGTCTGCAGAGTCAATAGTTAAAGACCTCCAAACTTCGTGTGGCCTTCAGATTAGCACAACAACAGTGCGTAGAGATCTTCATGGAATGGGTTTCCATGGCTGAGCAGCTGCATCCAAGCCTTACATCACCAAGTGCAATGCAAAGCATTGGATGCAGTGGTATAAAGCAGTGAAGACGAGTGACGAATCACGCTTCTCTGTCTGACAATCCGATGGATGTGTCTGGGTTTGGCAGGTGCCAGGAGAACAGTGTTTGCCCGACTGCATTGTGTCAAGTGTAAAGTTTGGTGAAAGGGGGAATATGGTGTGTGGTTGTTTTTTAGGGGTTGGACTTGGCCCCTTAGTTCCAGTGAAGGGAACTCTTAAGGCGTCAGCATACCAAGACATTTTGGACAATTTCATGCTTCCAACTTTGTGGAACAGTTTGGGGATGGCCCTTCATGTTCCAAGATGACTGCACACCAGTGCACAGAGCAAGGTCCATAAAGACATGGTTAAGGGAGTTTGGGGTGGAGGAACTTGACTGGCCAGAGTCCTGACCTCTACCCCATAGAACACCTTTGGGATCAATTAGAGCACATAATGTGAGCCAGGCCTTTTCATCTGACATCAGTGCCTGACCTCACAAATGTGCTTCTGGAAGAATGGTCAAACATTCCCATAGACACTCCTAAACCTTGTGAACAACCTTCCCAGAAGAGCTGGAGCTGTTATAGGTGCAAAGGGCGGGCCAACTCAATATTGAATCCTACGGACTAAGACTGGGATGTCAATAAAGTTCATGAGCATGTAAAGGCAGGCCGACCAATACTTTTGGCAATATAGCGTACTTTAAACAAGTGGCATTTAACAATATTTTTTGTATAAAAATACATAACTGCTCTATTTGTGTTTTTATATTTGCCTGGAGATGAGCTTTAATATTGATCTCAAAGATGCACGTATCCTATAATCCTGAATGTACTATGCCTATGGTTTAGCTTAGAATATTTTTGTGCTTATTATGTAATACCAACATAGTATGTAAAGCTGTACAGTCACGCAGCATTTATTCTTTTTTATTGGTCCCTGCACCAAAGGAGCTTACAATCTAATGTCCCTACCACAGTCTACAGAATACTGACAGGAAAACTTTGTCAGAAGCAAACTGTTGTGAATTTATGATTTTGGATTGTAGCAAAATTGGGACACAAATAATTTCAACACTTGTAATCAGCTACTTGCTCTAAAGATAGAGTCTGATCAGAATTGGTCAAAACATTCATACTTGGTAAAACCAACCGACATTGACATTTGTGCCCTGACTGCACTGCAATGAGCTGAACAACCCATTACATATTTCTTCTATTTCTAGAGGACACCAGCGGCAATATCTACCAGCTAGAGTTCATAGCTGCCAAGCATGGGAGTCTTACTATGCCAGCTGCAATCACTAAAAGGTAAAACGAACATAAAGTGGACACTTATTCAACAGTGTTCTACAAGAAATACAACCATTTGTATTGGTTCCAGCCATACACAGTATGGGGCTGATTTGGGAGGAACATAAAATCAAATTTTTTGGACTGGGGTAGTAAACCCCACACAAACACGGGGTGAACATACTTTTCAAATATAGAGTCACTAGCTTAATTAAACATAGGACTCAAGGCAAGAGCGCTAACCATCCTGCCCCCAATATAAACTGTAGTGATAAGAGTAAGCTCTATTAATTGCAGCGGCAGGTGGCAGCTGGAAACTCCTGATGCAGTTATCTTTCCACGGTGGGTGGTTCAGCCTTCAAGCCTCTAATCAAAACTGAAATATTCTAAGGCCATTACAGGTTAGGATAGGGCTACATGGGTGATTGAAATCACTGGTAAGAGATTTAACCCTTGACAAATGCCTCAGTTAAAAAAATCAATGCACTGCAAATGAAGCAATTGCCCAGAAGGAGTTAAATCTCTTACTGGTGATTACAAATCGCCCACGTATCTCTAGGCTAAATAGTAAGAATTGGTTGTATGTAGCATTTCTACCTTACTACTTCCTCCAAGAACAGAAATAGAAGAGAAAGCTAACAAAGTTGCACATTGCTGTAAATATAAAAGACCAAAAACCAAACTAAAGGCATCTGTGTCTTTTCAAAGCTTTTTTTTTTTTTTTCACGCTACTTTTCCATTTGATAGAACCAGGGAGGGTCATGTTAATCAGCGGGGACCTTGTACAAAACAGTTTCATCAGACAAAATAAGAAAAGCACCTAAAGAAGTGGTTGATATCATGTCTAGAGATCCGGTTTGCTGCGGCTCATGTCTTCTATCCATCTCCGCTCAGACGTCCGTGGAGAGTGCACTACTGTGCGTGAAACCTCATCTCTGATGTGTACTGAGCTTTCCGCGGCATGTCAAACCCATTACCTGCAAGGAGCAATCTTCTGCAGGTGGCTAAATTACATCCTGTCCTTTCAAAAGAGCAGATGAGCTCTCTTGAGTCACAAGAGACCTCCTGACGGCAATTAGGATTCAAGCAGCGTGTGCCATCTACATACTTGCTGTCCTTTTGACTCTTTCATTTCAGTCCAATGACTGAGCTCTTCATCGCCTGAGCTGTTCAAACCTAGGGATATCCAACCTATCATCTCTTTGCGCTTCATGCTGCGCTTGTTATAGACAGACAATATGAGAGTCACGTCCGAAAGCTGAAACAGGGCTACTTGGAAAATAAAGGTTTCTTTGTACAGGGGGTTGGGCTGGCCTCTTCGCGTTGATGTCTTACATTTTGACATTTCCTGGCCCATGGAATTCAGCAGTGTTAACTTTACGTAGGTATCTATAAAAAGCAATGAGATAGTTTAGTATAGGAGCTATATCATCATGGCATATTAGTAGGCAATGCAGTGCTAGGGAAGGATATGGTGTATACCATTCATATGAACAAAAGAAAATAATTTATTCAGGTCTACTGCAATATTCAATGTGCACCTCAATGCTGTGAAGGAGGAGAGTAAAGGGGGTAGACCAAGTCTTTGGATCAAACACCGATGAAGGTTTTAGTGCATTGAACTATTTAGCGTACTGTTGGCCCTAGGCTGGTAAAAAGGAGGAGCTGCTTTTAATGTTGGAATATTTCCTGCGATTTCCAAGTAATTGGCAATTCTAGTTCCTTCAGTTTCAATGTCCAATGCATACAATGCTGAGCTTCTAGCACGACTACATGACTAGCAGATGATTATTCTAAATGATGGCAGAGAGAGATATTTTGCTGTCCTACTGGAACAATGGTCCAGACTGATTCAGACCTCGTAAAAACAAGTAACTTTTTTTACTAAGTAAACAGTTATAGGGCCAATCACTCATATCCTGGTGGGTTTAAAATGGAAGAGTTTTAGGAGCTACAAGGAAATTAGTGTATGTCAGGACAGAAAAACAACAAAAAATATATTTGTTACAACTCTGCAATGCATCTTTATTTCCTTACATTTTGCCCCTCAAGCTGAACTCTAGGGAAAAAACGAAAAAGTTTCCTTGCAGTGAGGCTACCTTCAACACTGCAAAATTTAAAAACTTGTTTATGCCTGGGGTGCCAAGAAAAGGACCTTTACTTACCTTATCCCTCACTCCCCCAGCTGCCAGCGCTCAACTCTTCTCCGCGATGCTCTGGTTTGTGAGTGGTCCATCTGCATCTTCACTTACAATGCAGGGTTACTGGCTATTGCCAGTGCATTATACTCAACTTCATGACATCAAGAGAGCAGAAGGTAGCCCAACTAAAACATGGCGGACAACATTGCAGGGGTTTTCACTGCTGGCTCAAACATCAAGTTAGGAACACACTGGATTTCTGGCAGATCTACAGATATTTTTCTGTACTTGCGGCAATTTAAGGGGACAAAACATTGAGAAATATGCATGTATTGCAGAAATATATTGCAAATGTTTTTTTTTTTACCTGAATCTACATTTTAAGCTCTGCCCTATCATGTCTACATGGTGGACTTGGGAACTTTGGATGAGGAATAGTTAGATGTGGAAAGCACTGACATTACTCAGGGAAAAAATAAGGCATTGTAGAAAAAAACTGGAGAGGGATTAAGTGGTATGAACATGGATACCTGCTTTTTTAATGTTTGTTTAATCCTCCATTTTTCTCTCTGTGATTGATGGGTCTTTCTTTAAAGTGAACCTGTACTTGGCCCATTAAAAGAAAAGAGAAAAGCTGACTTGATAGCCCAGCCCTGCTATGTTGTTTTCCCATGCTCCACTGCCACAATGTTTGCCTACTGGAAGCAAGTGAAAGGCTTGGTACTTTCAGGTATGGGGTCATATCTGATTCTCTTCTCTTCCTCTCATACATACCACTATGTGCCAGATCAGGTCTGATCACTGTTATGTGTGGCAACAGGAGGGTCTTTAGACATGTGTAGGCTTTCACCAAATGGACTTCAATTTTTTACTCAGAGCTTAGCTCAGGTGGGTAAACATTGTGAAAGTAAGTATCAACTGGGAAGGAGGAAAAATTACAGGTTCACTTTAGGCTTTTCAAAACAAAAGTGTTAGTAACATCCAGGGTGGGAATATATGTCAGATCAACTCTGATCCTCAAATCTCTCAAGAAGAACTGGGATAAATTTGAGAGCTTGTGCAGGCCTGGCAGAGAAGATCTTGAAAGGAGGCTGTGCAGCCCTAATTGGTGTTGGATCGGGGACAGGTGAGTTCAGGATTGGCTGGGGGGTCTAGGGGCAATAGGTTAGTCACACTGTGCAATCACACTTTAAAGGTATACCATTCCATTATATATCCAAAAATACACAAAAATCTTCATTAATACTATAAATAAATAAATAAATAAAATACAAGAGGTGTATACACTTCCCTGCTCTCTTCCTTTCCAGCATCCTGTTAATTGCTTGCAAAAGGACAGGTGCACTTTAAAACATGCCAATAGGAAAATCAAAGGTTTAAAAGTTTAACACTGGAAAAAATAAAAGAAAACAATTATAGACATAAAATATTAGTCTTGGCTCAGTACAATTCAGCCAGCTGCATTAGCATATGAGGTATACCTCATAATCCTCTTGCATTCTTAATCGTTGCGCTAAGCGAAATAATATAGCGTTACTAACACCGAGCAAGCTTTGTCTAGCCACAACACTTCAAGCATACCACTGAGTTTTTGGAGACTAAAATGACAAAAACAGAGGGAATGAGAACAATTCATGAAAGGGAAGGGGGTGGTGGTGGTGGGGGGGGGGTCAAGGAACAGAAGTGCAATGATGACATCAGAACAGCTGACACACCAGCGTAGGCTTTGCGTCGCTGGTTCCGTCGGGCTCTGCTAGAGTTAAATACATCAGATCTGGAGCCAAGCATCCCTTGAATGCTTTCAGACTGCAATTTTATCACATTTGTCTCCTATCTGGGTGTAGATGTTGCACAAAGATTCAAGCTGTAGATAGAGAAGATTTGAGCCTAACAGTCTCATATGCCTTTGTAAAAAAAATATGGTCATTTTCCGTGGATAGAAAGCTGTTGGAAAAAGAACAATTATGTCTTGGGGTGGCTTCCAGTCATAGGAGATGTGTGCCAAATGTGTGCTAGATGGCTTGGTGTTATGAAGCGTACAATAAAAAAAAAAAATAGGATGTGTGTCTAATACTGAATTATGAAATTACAGTCATGCTGGGCTAAAATGAACAATGCAGGGTAATTGCAAGTTAAGACTAGCTTTTTTTCTAGCTGTCAGAAAAAAATAAAAAAAAAAATTCTTTACCCATTTGACACATCTGAGGGTACTTTAACTGCCTTTTACTATGTGTGATGATGGTAGAAGTAGAGATACTTTTAAAACAGAACTGCAGCAAGCAGCTAAATACAAAATCTAAATACACATTTGGATACAGTTTTATTTGCCAAAGAATTAGCAACTCTGTTCATCAAGCAGGGTGGCTGTTAGAAATCGTGGGGCCCCATACAGCCTATCTGACAGAGCCTCCCTCCCAGCCTGGGTGAATGTGTGGGTGTAGGTATATGCCCATGAACAAGGCACTAGACGCATGAGCAAACCGCCTATTCATTCAGCCAGAGTACCCATGTCAATGAGCCCTTGATTATATTTTTAAACTTATTTTTAATTTTTTATGTGTTACATTTTTTTAATAGCCTGGGGGGAGGGGGTTGTTTGACTCTTTGGTGAAATATCAGGGGTCTATATATAGAGCTCCGATGTCTCAATTTTGAGGCAGAAAAAGTGATTGAGGACACAAAGCTCCAATCCTTTCTCTGTAGTCTCAGCTGCTATAGAATGAATGAACAGGAAGCGCTCTATACAGAGGCTCCCTGTTCACTTACAAACTTAAACATAGTAAACATGGAGGGCAGGGGGGAGGCTAAGAGGGATCAAAGCTGTGGATAAAGGGGATCCTGGAAAGGAGAGGGGGTGACTGGAGTGGTGGAGGAAGGCCAATCTCTGAAACCAATCCCCCTGTGGCTCCCCCTACAGCAGCTGACAGTCAGTAGGAGAGGGAAGAGGACAAGCCAGCTGTGCTGCAGGGAAGGGGATCTGCTTGCAACATAAAGCTACCAGGGCCTCCCTATTGAACAGGAGGGCCGGTGCTAGTCCCTTATCAGTGGTCCTGTCATGAAGTCTTGTAAATCACACACGTGTGCTACACAACTCAGCCAAGAAGATAATTCCACTATATACTGGTTCAGCTTTGCAGCGTCCTGTCCTGCCCAATAATTGGAAGATGGGTTTTCATTACCTATATTAAAAGTAAATCTGGCCATACACCGATCACCTTTTGGCTGATTCCTGCTGAACTTGGCAAAATTTGTTCTGTAGGTGACCCAGTCAGCACCACCAGGCTAAACAAAAGTAAATTTCTCAATCGAAATTTGCTATAAGGGACTGGTTGGAAAATTCTCAGCCAAACAGTCCCTGCATCTGATTGGTTGTCAGAATACAAAAGCAGGTGTGGGAAATTCAACCATCCACGATGAATGAGAAAAGTGAGTGATTTCTCTTGTTCAGCCTGCTTTAGTCCCTTTTCACCACAACCTATATGGTTATACTGTCTTGTTAGGAACAAAGCCAAACTCCACAGAAGTTATGGTTTTCCATACACTGCACTGATAATGGCCAAAAAAGTGTGAAATAGCTGTACGTGGTTTGGAATAAATGGCTCTATAATATTTGGCTATATTTACACTATACACCAGTGGCTCTAGAATTGCATCTGGTTGGTAGGGCATAAAGCAATGAATTGCATGGCCCTGCCCACTGTCCCAAAATGAGTAATAATCCTCTTATTTTGGGATATGTGATGAAATGAGACATGCTAAGACCTTCTGTTTTAGAAAGGCCTTATTATGCTATGTACCGATTCAGTTGGAAGGCTGTTTGATTGCTTTAGTCCCATCTCACAATAACCTGTATGGTTATACTGTTTCTATGGAGAGTTACAAATCCTTTATTGGGTTAATTCAGTGTTTCTCAACTCCAGTCCTCATGGACCCCCAACAGGTCATGTTTTCAGGATTTCCCTCAGATGAAACAGCTGTGGTAATTACTAAGGCAGTGAAACTGATCAAATCACCTGTGCAAAATAATGGAAATCCTGAAAACATGACCTGTTGGGGGTCCATAAGGACTGGAGTTGAGAAACACTGGGTTAATTAAACAGTCTTTAAAACCATACATTTAGCTGCTGGCTTAAGTTCTGCTTTAAGCATTCACTAGCTCATAGTATTTTGATTATTTTTGACAAAGGGTCAGAGTTTAATATCCTGCCCTTAGGTAACGTAAGATTACTACATCATGGTGATTGTATT